ATTTTCTTTTTTTAACGAAAAATTTGTTTTTAAATGTTTGTGAACAAGGAAAATGAAGGAAAAAAAAAGGAAATAATAGAATTTAATCAAATACCTTCATATCTTTCAGCTTGTTCACTCAATTTAGCAAAGAAAACTAATGATTCTCTTTCGTCAGGATTCATTTTTAATTTAAAAAGAAAAAAATGAAAAAAAAAAAATGAAAAAAAAATTGACTTTGAAAAAATAAAAAAAGAAAAAAAAAATAAAAAAATATCAAAATTACTCATTTTTATTTATTTTTATTTTTATTTTTAATTTAAAAAAAGAAAAAAAAAAAGAAAAAGAAAAATAAAAATTCTTTTTCGTTTTATTCATTTTTTTGGTTTGTCTTTAACTTCACTTTCTGGTGGATTATAGAGATAAATGTCAGTTGTATTTAAAGATGAATTTGGAGTTCCCTTTTTGTTTAAAAAAAAAAAATAAAAAAAAAACATTGATCAGATCAGATCAGATCAAAAAAAAAAACAAGAAAAAAAAAAATTATTTACCATATGCCAATCATCACAAACAGAAAAAGCAAATAATGATCCATCATTATTAAAATCACATTTTGTAATTGGTTTATTATAACGATGAGGTCCTGCTGATGTTCTTGTTCGAGAATTTTTACACCAAAAAAAGAATTCACCATCAGAACCAACAGTTGCAAATGTCCCAAATTTTGGATGAAAAGAAATGTCATTTATTCCAAAAACTTCATGTTTTTGATTTCTATGACAACGAAATTGAAAACTTGGTGAAGAATCAGTTCTTTTTTGATTTTTTGTTTTTGATTTTTTTTCCGATTTTAATTTTTTGGAAATTTTAAAATGATTTTTAATTAAATGTTTACAAATAATTAATTCCAACTCTTCCATCAATTGAACCAATAGCATAACCATCTTTTTCGTTAAAAATTCTAACAACTCTTGTTTGATATTTCATTGGAGAATCAATTGTCTAATAAAAATTTAAATAAAAACAAAACAAAACAAAACAATTTTTTTGAATAATTTTTTAGAAAGATGAAAATAGGAATTTACATTATAAAGACTTGGAGTTGAAGTGATATCAAAAGAATAAATTTTTCGTTGTGAATCAGCAGCAACAAGTAAAGGATATTTAACATCCATACTAATAAATTTTAATTGGAATTTTTAAATTGGAATTTTTAAATTAAATTTAAATTGGAATTTTTGAATTAGGTTTTTGAACCTGAAAATTTTCTGAATTTGAGTATATTCAAAAACTAAATTTGGTTGACGAAGATCCCAGAATCGTATTGCTTTATCCCAACCGCCTGTAATTAAAAGATTATCAACTTCAGGAACAACAAAAACTTCTTTGATAGGAGCTAAATGCTGAAATTAATAAAAATGAAATAAGTTTTAAAAAGGAAATAAATTGATAAAAATGAAATAAATTGATTAAAAGATTTAAAAAGGAAATAAATTGATTAAAAGATTTAAAAAGGAAATAAATTAATAAAAAGGAAATAAGTTGATTAAAAGATTTAAAAAGGAAATAAATTGATTAAAAGATTTAAAAAGGAAATAAATTAATAAAAAGATTTAAAAAGGAAATAAATTGATAAAAAGGAAATAAATTGATTAAAAGTTTTAAAAAGGAAATAAATTAATAAAAAGATTTAAAAAGGAAATAAATTAATAAAAAGATTTAAAAAGGAAATAAATTAATAAAAAGGAAATAAATTGATTAAAAGATTTAAAAAGGAAATAAAGTGATTAAAAGTTTTAAAATGAATTAAAAATTTAAATTAAGAATTTGATTGAAATTTTTAAAACAAACTTCTGCAACATCTTGTTGTTGATTTGTTGAAACATCCCAAGCAGTAACTTTGTTATTTGCACCACCAATAAATAAAACACGTGAATCCTAAAAAAAAATTTTTTGAATTTGTAAAAAAAGGAAAAAAAAATAAACAGAATTAAAGATGAATTTTTGATAATTTAAATATACAGCACTCCAAGCTGAACAAAGTGGAGGTTCTTGAAGCTCCAAATGAAGCATAATTTTTGCAACACTTCCATCAATTTGCCATATTCTTGCCTAAAAAATGATTTTATAATTTATAATTTATAATTTATAATTTATATTTATTTTTATTTTTATAATTTATTTTTATTTTTATTTTTATTACAAAATTATCCCATGATGTTGCTTCTAAAATAAAAGGATCAATTGGACTAAAATGAAGTGAAGAAACTGAATCTTGAGGTGGAGCATCTTTTATTGAAATTTGATTCATTTTAAAAAAAATGAAAAAAAAAAAATGAAAAAAAAAATGGGAAATCTAAATGAATTGATAATCTAAAAATATTAATCAACATCAAAATCTTGATTATCAATGTCAATTTCATTATCCTCTTCAATGTGAATTTGATTTTCATTTTCATTTTGATTTTCAATTTGATTTTCATTTTGATTTTGATTTTCATTTTCAATTTGATTTTCAATGTGAATTTGATTTTGATTTTCATTTTGGTTGTCAAAGTCATTATTATTATCATCGTCATCATCACTAAAATCATCATAAGGATTATAACCGTTTGGATTTTGGAACTCATTTATTCTTTTTTGATGTTCAACAAAATAAATATCTTCATCTTCATCTTGATATTCATCACTATCATCTTCATTTTGATATTGATATTGATATTTATATTGATAATTATGTTGATTTTTTGTACTTTCATTTATTGTAATTTGATTTTTGATTGTTTGATTTAAGTTGATTTCGTGTTCATTTTTAAAATGACTCTTTTCTTTTGGTTTTTTATCTTTTTCCTCTTCTTCTTTCATTGATTGAATCAAACTTTCTTTCATTTCCTTTTGTTTCTTTAATTTTTCTTGAATTATCATCTGTCTCCTTTTTTCAATTTCTACTTTAAAAACGGAATAATATAATTTTTCACATTTTTTAATTCCTTGGAAGAATTCTTTCATTCCTTTTCCTGTAACAGCAGAAACACCAACACTCTAATAAATTTTCATTTAAATTTTTATTTAAATTTTCATTTAAATTTTTATTTAAATTTTTATTTAAATTTTTATTTAAATTTTCATTTATATTTTTATTTAAATTTTTATTTAAATTTTATTTAAATTTTAAATTTTATAAAAAATACCTCTAAATTACGATAAAACTCATCAAGAACTAGACTCATAGAACGAGAAAAAGAAGCAGTATAAGAAGATTGCTCTTTCAAAGCATCATCAAAAGATTGCCAATTAGTCAGCCATTCTTGAGCAAAACGAAAATCACAAATATCACACTTATTAAAAACAAGAAGAAAAGGAAGACGAGTTTTATAAAGAATTGAACAACTATAAAGCATATTTGCCATAAACGTTGTTGGAGTAAGTGTGCGCGGAGTATCAATGACATACGCAATCACTGTTGGATATGTGCTCGAAAGTGCTTCTGTGATGATCTGTCCAGATGCAGACCATGTAAAACTTTCAATTTGTCCAGGTGTGTCAATTAAAATGTATTTCACTTCTTTTTCTCTTTTCTCTAAATAATTCAATACTTGATCAAATTGTGTCGTGAATAAATTTAATGATGTTATTATTGCTCCATTTGGTCCTAATTGATATCTTTGATTCCAATTTGAGTTTTTTAAAAAAATTTTGTTCTGATTTATTTATATATTTATATTTATATTTTTTTTCTATTGATTTTTTTTACTGTTCCATCACTTTTTTATAATTAATTGTGTCCCGAATATCAATATTAACTGCATATGGTACGTTATTAACGGCTGGATCAAGATTAATTATGTATTTGGGAATTTGATATTGATATAAATATGAATTTAATCTTTGCATTAAAGTTGTTTTTCCTGAACCAGCCATTCCAATAATTATTATAACAGTTGGTTTTTCATTTTGATTTTCATTTTTATTTTCATTTTGATTTTCATTTATATTTTGATTTTGATTTTCATTTTCATTTTCATTTTGATTTTGATTTTGATTTTGATTTTCAATTTGAATTTGATTTTGATTTTCAATTTGATTTTCAATTTGATTTTGATTTTGATTTTCATTTATATTTTGATTTTGATTTTCATTTTCATTTTCATTTTGATTTTGATTTTGATTTTCAATTTGAATTTGATTTTGATTTTGATTTTGATTTTCAATTTGATTTTGATTTTGATTTTCATTTTCATTTTCATTTTGATTTTGATTTTGATTTTGATTTTGATTTTGATTTTGATTTTGATTTCGATTTTGATTTTGATTTTGATATTGATTTTGATTTTGATTTTCTATTTTCAATTTATCTCTAAATTCTTCTTTAATTGTTTCCATTTTTTCATTTTCTTGATTCATTATTCCAAATTAATAAAAGAAAAAGAAAAAAAAATGAAAAAAATTTTTTTTTAAATTTTTCATTTTTTTTCATTTTTTTTTCAAAACAAAATGAATGTTTTATTAAAAGATTTCAGAAAAAATAAAAAGAAATTAATTGAAGAAAACGAAAATAAATGGAAAGAATTTGAAAAAAGAAGTCAAGAAGTTATAGAAACAATGTATGAAGGATTAAATATTCAAATCAATGAAATTTTTCAAAATCAAAAAATTATTGAAACAGAAAATAAGAAAATTCAAATACAAACAATAAACAATGAAAAGCTAACAAATCAATGGATAAATTTGATAAAAAAGTTGAATTCACCTTTACATGATTTATCAAATTCAAATGATTGGGCATTTAACACAGAAAAAAATTTAAAACAACTTTCTCAAAATTTGGAAAATTTAAAAAATTTAAATCAAAAAAAGAAATAAAAATTCAAAATAAAAATATAATTTTTTTAAACATTTTAATAAAATTATTTAAAAAATAAGAATAGATTTAAATTAATAATTAATTTAATTTTCTTTCTAATTTATTATTTTAAATTAATTTATAAATGAAAAAAAAAAAATTAAATAAAAAAAAAAAAGGGGTTATTAGGGAATCGAACCCCAGCCTCGTGCGCCCAAAGCACGAATCATGCCATTAGACCAATAACCCAAATTTTTAATTTAAATTTTTTTCTTCTTATTTTTTTTTCAAAATTTAATTCTTTTATATTATTTTTTAAATTTCTTAAAAAAATTAAATAATAAAAATATAAAAAACTAAATAATAATTGAATAATAAATTAATTATAAATATTTATATAAAATAAATTATAAATTAATTTTATAAATTCAAATTTAAAATTGTAATTAAATTATTAAATAAAAATATTAATAAAAATTAAATAATAAAAATATAAAAAACTAAATAATAATTGAATAATAAATTAATTATAAATATTTACATAAAATAAATTATAAATTAATTTATAAATTTAAATTAAAAATTGTAATTAAATTATTAAATAAAAATATTAATAATAAATTAAATAATAAAAATATAAAAATTAAATAATAATTAAATAATAAATTAATTATAAATATTTATATAAAATAAATTATAAATGTTTTTATAAATTTAAATTAAAAATTGTAATTAAATTATTAAATAAAAATATAAATAAAAATTAAATAATAAAATATATAAAAAACTAAATAATAATTAAATAATAAATTAATTATAAATATTTATATAAAATAAATTATAAATTAATTTATAAATTCAAATTAAAATTGTAATTAAAATTATTAAATAAAAATATTAATAAAAATTAAATAATAAAAATATAAAAAAACTAAATAATAAATAAATAATAAATTAATTATAAATGTTTATATAAAATAAATTATAAAAATAATTTATAAATTTAAATTAAAAATTGTAATTAAATTATTAAATAAAAATATTAATAAAAATTAAATAATAAAAATATAAAAACTAAATAATAATTAAATAATAAATTAATTATAAATGTTTACATAAAATAAATTATAAATTAATTTATTTATTTAAATTAAAAATTGTAATTAAATTATTAAATAAAAATATAAATAAAAAATTAAATAATAAAATATATAAAAAACTAAATAATAAATTAAATAATAAATTAATTATAAATGTTTATATAAAATAAATTATAAATTAATTTATAAATTTAAATTAAAAATTGTAATAAAATTATTAAATAAAAATATTAATTATAAATTAAATAATAAAAATATAAAAACTAAATAATAATTAAATAATAAATTAATTATAAATATTTATATAAAATAAATTATAAATTAATTTATTAAATTTAAATTAAAAATTGTAATTAAAATTATTAAATAAAAATATAAATAAAAATTAAATAATAAAATATATAAAAACTAAATAATAATTGAATAATAAATTAATTATAAATATTTATATAAAATAAATTATAAATTAATTTATAAATTTAAATTAAAAATTATAATAAAATTATTAAATAAAAATATAAATAAAAATTAAATAATAAAAATATAAAAATTAAATAATAATTAAATAATAAATTAATTATAAATATTTATATAAAATAAATTATAAATTAATTTATAAATTCAAATTAAAAATTGTAATTAAATTATTAAATAAAAATATTAATAAAAAATTAAATAATAAATATATAAAAAACTAAATAATAATTAAATAATAAATTAATTATAAATGTTTACATAAAATAAATTATAAATGTTTTGTAAATTTAAATTAAAAATTTTATAATAAAATTATTAAATAAAAATATTAGGTGGAATATTAAAACTTCCAAAAATATTATTATGAATTTGATCCTTTATGTAATTCTTTGGAATAAGCAAGAAATTACTACTAAAAAGTTGTCGCATTTCTTTATTTTATTTTTTTTGTTTCTTTTTTTGTTTTTTTTTTATCCATTTTTTTCTTTTTTTTTTGCTTTTTTTATTTTTATTTTTTTCTTTTTTTTTGTTTCTTTTTTTTTGTTTTTTTTTAATTAACATTTTGTTATTTCTTACATGGATTCAGATTCAAATTCATATTCAGATTCAAATTCAAATTCAGATTGGATGATAACTGAAAATTCAAATTCAGATTCAGATTTCGATTCAGATTCAAATTCAGATTTCGATTCAAATGAATATCAAAATGAATATGAAAATGAATATGAAAATGAAAATGAAAATGAAAATGAAAATCAATATATAAATCAAAATGAATATGAAAATGAATATGAATATCAAAATCAATATCAATATCAAAATGAAAATGAAAATGAAAATCAATATCAAAATGAATATGAATATGAAAATGAATATGAAAATCAATATGAATATGAATTTGAAAATGAAAATGAAAATGAAAATGAAAATGAAAATGAAAATCAAAATCAAAATCAAAATCAAAATCAAAATATAAATCAAAATGAATATGAAAATGAAAATGAAAATGAATATGAAAATGAAAATGAAAATGAAAATGAATATGAAAATGAAAATGAAAATGAAAATGAAAATGAAAATGAAAATGAAAATGAAAATGAAAATGAAAATGAAAATGAAAATGAAAATGAAAATGAAAATTCAAGGATGATAACTGAAAATTCAAATTCAGATTCAGATTCAGATTCAGATTCAGATTCAAAATCAGATTTAGAACCAATAGAATTGGCCCCAAATGGTCCAGAAATGGAATACCTTAAAAAACTGCGAATCTTACTAATTCAAAAAAAATTTGATGAATGTTTGAAAGAAATCAATAATTGCACTCTCGAACCACATCAACTTGAACAGATTAAACCTTTGCATATATTGTATCAAATTAAGGCTTTGGTTGGTTTAGGAAGATCTCAAGAAGCAAAAAAAATTATTAAAAAAGAATCAAAAAATTTTTTTCTGAGGTTTCAACTTGCAAAAATTTACTATAAAACAAAATCAAATAACATGGAACCAATTAACGAAGTGTTATCTCTCATCAATGATAGCAATATTTCAAGAAATTCACAAACAGGATTAGTTGATTCTTCTGTTTTTCATCCAACAAGAAAAGATTTTCTTATTCTCAAGATCAAGTTCTTAATTAGAAACAAAGAATTTGATTTAGTTTCAAAAGAATTGGAGGAATTGAACAACGAAATCGAGGAAGATAAACCAAGACTGAATGAACTCGAACAATCGAACAATTTTATACCAGATTATGAATCCATAACAGAAACCAAATTTGCACTTGCACAAAATTTTCAAAAATTAAACCAAACTAACGAGTGGCAAAATTTGAGAAAACAACTCAGAGAAAACCAGATAATTCAACTTTTATTTAAAGAGAATTTATTGAAATTACAAGTTATACAACAGAAATCCATCATAAAACTTTATCAATATAAAACTCAAATTCTTTCTGTTCAAAACATTTACTCACAAATCAAACAACTTTTGAGAGCAAATCCTCGTCAAGATATTCAAAACAAATTGAATGAAATGGAAAAAAATTTGGGGTTGATTCCAGATGAATCATTTACTTCAAACTATCACTATTATTGGGGAGTCTTTTATCATTTGAAAAACCTTCATTCCAAAGCTGTTCAGAAATTCTTGTTAGCACATTCTTCGAATCCAAAACCAAAATATCTTTATTGTATTGCAAGAGAATGTTATTTAGATTCTCAATATACAGAAGCTTTAACTTATCTCAAATACATTAAATGGACTAAACCCAATCAAAATCTCCAAAATAAAGTTATAAGTTTTCAAAAGTATTTACAGGAATGTGAAAAAATTCGCCAAAAAACAGTTTCCAAATCTCTACTTAATTCAGAACAAAATTTTAAATACCTTCTAGAGGATTTAGAAACAGATTTTGTCAACAAAGTGCTTAAATTTATTTCAGATTTACAAAGAGAACAAGAACAAAAACAAAATCGCGAAGAGAAACTTGCCATATTTCTACTTAATTTACAAGAACAATCACGAGAATATATTCTAAGAATATTTGTCAACAATTTACCAAATTTACAAGAAGCATCAAGAAACAATCTTCTAAAAAACTTTAACTCCATTCTAAAAAACTTTAACTCCATTCTAAAAAACTTATCAGAAAATTTACAACAGGAATATCAGGAAAATATGGACGGCATAACAAACCAATTTCAGAGAAACAACACAGATATATTTATTATTCGAAGAAATAATTAATTTTGATTTTCTTTAATTAATTTTGATTTTCTTTCATTAATTTTGTTTAATTTCTTTTTAACTTTGTTTAATTTCTTTTTAACTTTGTTTAATTAATGATTGAAAATAAAAACAAAATTTAAAATAATTTTTTGAAAACAAATCGTTTATTGAAAAGAGAAAAGTTCTCTCATTTTTTGAAGAAACTGAAGAAAATTCTCATCAAGTTTAACCAAGAAAAATTGATGATATTGAAAGAAATCCGGAAAACCAAAGGATCTTGTATTCTCGATTCTCTTTTGGCAACTTCTCCACAATTCCTTTTGGCGCAATTGGACAAATATCCTTCCTTCTTTGAATTCACTAGTCAAGACGTTTAGATCATAAAGCGAGCTGTTGTTTTGCCTATTCCTATTGGCAAAGAAACCGAGCTCAAGAAAGATCATGAACAGCCGCGAATTTTCATGTTGGATACTCCTCAATTTTATCACGAACTTCTGCTGGATCTTCACAAGCAAATCTTCCAATTCCTTCAATTCGTTTGGATCGTCCTCGTATTTTTCAAACAACTGCGAGTACTTATCCAAAAGATACAAAGAAAGATCAAACAGAATCATCCAGTTCTCTTCTTCGTTCGCAAATTCCTTTGCTTTGACGATAAAATTCAAAATGATCTTGATTATATTCATCAAATTGTTCTTTTGGTATTGAATTGTTTTCAACGCAACGTTTTTGACAGAATTGTACTTGTACGCTAAAATTTGGTACAAAATGAAATACGATCCATTTTCCTGCAAGTCGTCCTCAATCGATTTGTACCCGATCCGAGACGTAAGAGTTGGCAGATCGTCCCTTCTTTGGTTGCTTCTCTCGTTTTTGAAAAAGTATTCTGAAATGTATTCGTAAATAATCAGTCGTCTTTTAAATGGTTCGCCAGTTGAAATG